GATAGATAGATAGATAGATAGATAGATGATAGATGGATAGATAGATGGATAGATGATAGATAGATGATAGATAGACAGGTGAGGGTCCGAGGCTCAGGAAGGTTAAAAGACTTGCTCAGGGTCAGGCGGCAGGGCGGGAACTGCAGGCGGCGCTGGTTATTGCGGCCCCTCATGCTTACCCGCGACACTGTCAAGTGTGTCTCGTTTTGTGAAACTGAATGACCGGGAACGCGGGAGTTCCTGCTACGTTGTCTGCCTCTAGGCAGTGACTTTGCCGCTGGGGCTCTGCAGAAAAGCCTGTGACTGAGGAGCTGGGCTTGCACCTGCCCCCACCTCGCCTCAGGGAATCAGGAGGGCAACCTACGGCCTCCTGCTTCTCTCCGGCAGGTGGGTCCTGCCTCCCTGGTTCAGGGCCCCAGCCCTGTGCTACTATGAGGCTGGAGCTCACCCAGTGCTTGCACACTCCCTTTCCTCATGAGTGACCGTTAGGGCAGGAGAACTGGGCAGTAAAGAAGAGACAAGGGCCCCGGCCAGTGTGGCTCAGCGGTAGAGCATTAGCCACGGACCCAAGGGGTGTGGGCTCGATTTCCGATTCCTGGCCCCGGTTGGGGTGCTTGCGGGAGGCAACCAGTCGATGCGCCTCTCTCACATCCATGTTTCTCTCTCTCGTCTCCCCTCCTTCCCCTCTACTCTAAGTAAAAAAAAATCCTCATGTGAGGAGTAACAAAAACCAAACGAACCCCCCAAAAACAAACAACAAAAAAGAAGAGAGAAGGAACACAGGGAGGGCCCCCTAGACCTAAGCCACCAAGAAGCCTGCGCTCCCGCCATCTCCATGGCTGGGGCACGTGATGGAGACACCGCAGCGCAGATGTGAGCCGACCTGGGTCCTATCCTGCCCTGCCCTGGCTCTTTCAGGCTCTCAGCGTGACCCCGTGTCCCCTCCTGGGCCGCCCAAGGCAGGCTGCTGGGGAGATGAAATGACTTAGGGTGTCCCGGGGCACCGGGGGCCCCATACGCCCTGCAGCGCGACCCCGTGGGGACGCTGGACCCGGGGGAAGGCCAAGGGCCCTACCTTTCTCGGCTCCCGCCTGGTCGTGCTTCTCAAACAGCAGGTAGCGGGGGCTCTCGGGGAAGAAGGGCAGGCTCACCAGCTGGACCACGGCGGGGATGGTGATCACCCCAAACAGGTACGGCCAGGTGCTCTCCTGAAGGGGCGAGAGGGGCAGTGAATGGACGTGACTCCCAGGCATGACACAGCTCCAGCTCTGCGCCAGCGTGACCGCCACCACCAGGCCGAGGGAGGGATCGGACCCTGTTCCGCACAGGCCCAGTGTGTCTAGAACTCTGGTGACCCGCAGGGTAGCTCTGAGAAGGAGCTCAGGGGGCCCGGGGCTGATGGACCCCAAGCCTCCTGGGCAGCGTGGGGAGCCTGAAGGTGCTCTGCTCCTTCGTGGGTGTGTGGCCGGGACCCATTCTCAAGGTCCCTCGGCATCTCCATCTCTTTACTGTGGAATGGGGACAGCCCCAGACACCTGTCAGGCTGCTGTGAGAGCGGGATCAGGTCACACTTTGACTGTGGGCCTTGGCGCACAGTAGGTGCACAGAGAAAACCATTGCTCATGCTGGTGCCACCACCCGATGCCTCCGAGGCTGGTGACATCCTACCCTCTTGCTCCTGTCAGTGAACTGACTGAGGGTGGCAGGGTGGGGGGCACAGCTCCCCTGAGGGCGGATCTCTCCACTTCCCAGTGGCTCTGAAAGGCCAGCAGGTGCTGTGAGAGGTGATTCTCAAGAGCCCGCCAGTCACTTCCAGCAGCACCCCGCACCTATCACGCAGCCAGTGCAGCCTGGAGCGGTTAGTATGCTGATGACAGCGGCATTGTGCCCGATTGATTTATTTTTTACCCAGGTTTACAAACAAGCTCTCTCCCGGTGCCCCTGAAAGAAGAGAGTGCCACTGCCAGGCAGTTCCGACGGGGGAAGAAAGGCTGAAGGCAAAGTGCTCAGTGCCAAAGTCCTGACACGTTTCATTTCCTCAGAAAGTCAAAGGGGACAGTGGAGGAGAGAGGGCGACGCGCTCAGGCAAAGGCTTGGCTGCCTCCAGGAGGAGTCCTGCGAGCGTGTCCACAGGACCTGGAGCACGGCTCTCACGGCCGTTTCCCTGGAGGCAGAGCTTCCCCACAGTGTCCTAGGCTCGGCCTACTGACATCCTTGGGAACCACGGTGTCCTAGGCTCGCCTACTGACATCCTTGGGAACCACGGTGTCCTAGGCTTGGCCTACTGACATTCTTGGGAACGGAGGCCCTGGGAGAGTGCTGCAAAGCGAGGACCCTGGACCAATGCCTGGGTGTGAGTCCCACCTCTACTACTTACCGGCTCTGGGACCTTGGGGAGGTTACTTAACCTCTCTGTGCCTCGGTATCTTTGAGAGTAAAATGGGTATAAATGTGCACTGCTCGCTGAGTTGTGAGAATTCAACAAAGTGACACATACAATTCTTAGGACGATACCTCTCACATAGGACTCACTCCCAAAACCTCGGCTCTGTTTAGCTTCACTCCAGGCAAGGTGTGTGCTGGACATGGTTCATGCAGCACCTCTTTTCTGCACCTCTTTTCGAGGGAGCTCCCCCCCCCCC